TAGTACACAGAATTTCCACAGTCACTTTAAACTTAACCTCCTTTATAACATACGCTATAAATCACAGTGATTCACACACTTCACTTATGGTGCCTACTGTTCGCTTGACTCAGTTATCTATATCTTCAGTCTATCTGCATATCTCTCTATTGCTGGCTTTATTTGCCGGGCTTATATACTAAAAAAAGAGGGCGCCTGGCAAATGCTCGTACATTCGCTTGGTTCCTCGATAATTCATGATCCTTCTAGAAACTCCAGCTCGCATGGTCCCAGGGTCGCGTGACTTCCGCTTTCGTTAAGTTAAGTTGGAATAATGAACACAGAATAAATACTGAGTAGGTTATAGAAATATAAATTCAACTTTTGTTGAATAGCGTAGGGGGGGATACTAATTTGGACGTAAAAACACAAACTTAGATTTATGTTGGAATAGTGAAAGGAAAACAAGTACTAATATGTTACAGAACTATAAACTTTTGTTGGAACACTGGAAGGAGGTTAATTACCAAGTTGGACACACAAACTTAGATTTTTGTTGGAACAGTGAAAGGAATAAAAATACGGAATAGGAAACGCAAACATAAAGTTAAGTTGGAATAATGAACATAGAATAAATACTGAGTAGGTTATAGAAATATAAATTTGTATTGGAACCCTGGAAAGAAGACAGTACTGAAAAGGATAAAAGGACAAATCTCTGTTGGAAAAGTGTATGGAGGTACCAAGCTGGACATACAAACATAGACTTTTATTGGAAAATTGGAAGGAGAACTTTACTGACTAGGACACAGAAACAAATATTTGTCGGAACGGTTAAAGGAGATCAAGTACTGACTAGGATAAGGAAATATAAATTTTTGTTGGAAAAGTGGAAGAAAGGCAAGTGCCAGTTTTGGACACACAAACATAAACCTTTTTGGGATCAATGGAAGAAGGACAAGTACCAATTTTGACAGAGAAACAAACTTTTGTTTGATTAGTGGAAAGATGACACTACCAATTTGGTGACATAAACATAAACCTTTTTTGGAATAGTGGAAGGACGACCCGTACCAATTTGGACACAGAAAGAAACTTGTTGCAAGTGCAGAAAGACGACTAATGCTAATTTTGAAACACAAACATAGAATTTTGTTGAAACAGTGGAAGGAGGACAAATAATGAATAGGATACACAGCAAAAAAATTGTTGGAACAGTGAAGGAGGCCAATTACCAATGTGGACACAAAAATATAATTTTTTGTCGGAACAGTGGAAGGACAACCAATACCAATTTGCAGACAGAAAGAAACTTTTGTTACAAGAGCGGAAGGAGGGCAAGTACCAATTTGGACACACAAACATAGACTTTTGTTGTAACAGTCGAAGAAGGACGAGTACCAATTTCGACAGAAAGAAACCTTTTGGAATGGGAAAAGAGGACAAGAACTGAGTAGGAAACATAAACAAACAGGAACAATAGAAGGAGGATAAGTACTAATTTTGATATATACACATAAACTTTGATTGGAATAGTGGAAAGAGGACAAGTACCAGTTTGGTCACAAATATAAAGTATTGTGGGAAGAAGAAGAGTTGACTACGATATATAAATATAAACTTTTGTTGGAACAATGGAAGGAGGGCAGATACTGAGTACAACACATAAATTTTTGTTGGAACAGTGGAAGTAGAACAAGTAATGAGTACGTTTCAGAAATATAAACTTTTGTTGGAACACTAGAAAGAGGACAGTACTGACTAGGAAACAGTGGAAGGAAATCAGGCATTGACTAGTATAAGGATACATAAACTTTTGTTCGAAAATAGAAGAAGGACAAGTGCTAATTTGGACATAGTTTTTTCGAACAGTGGAAGGGGATTAAGTACTGACTAGAACACACAAGCATAAAAAGTTGTCTGAACAGTAGAAGGAGGACAAGGAGAAATTTGAAAATAGAAACGAAATTTTGCTTGAATAGTGGAAAGAAGACGAGTATCAATTTGGACACACAAACATGAACTTTTGTTGGTACAGTGAAAAAATAACAAGTACTGACTAGGACACACAAACAAAGTTTTGTTTGGACAGTGGAAAGAGAACAAGTACTGAGTAGGACACATAAGCATAAGCTGTTGTCTGATATCTGGAAGGAGAACAAATTTTTAGTGGGAAACACAAATAAATGTTTGTTGGTACAGTGGAAGGAGTTAAAATTTTGAGTGGGACAAACAAAGAAATCTTTGTTGGAACAGTGGAAGGAGGAAAAGTACCAATTTGGACACATACATAATCTTTGTTGAAAAAGTGTAAGGAGGTGAAATGCTGACTAGGAAACACGAACTTAAATTTTTGATGGAACAGTGGAAGAAGGACAAACACAAATTTGGACATATACACACAAAAAAACTTTCGTAGAACAGGGAAAGAGGAAAACTATCAATTTGGACACACAAACATAAACTTTTTTGGAATAGAGGAAGTAGAACAAGCACCAAATTGGACACAGAAACATAAACTTTTGTTGGAATCCTGGAAGGAAACCAAGTACCAATTTGAGCACACAAAAATAAACTTTTGTTGGAACAGTAGAAGAAAGACAAGTACCAAACATAAAGTTTTGTTGGAACAGTGGAAAGAGGACAAGTACTGTTTAGGACACCCAAACAAACTTTTGTTGGAACAGCGGAAGGAGGACAAGTACTGTTTAGGACACCCAAACAAACTTTTGTTGGAACAGCGGAAGGAGGACAAGTACTGTTTAGGACACCCAAACAAACTTTTGTTGGTACAGTGGAAGGAGAAGTACTGACTAGGAAACACAAAAGTAAACGTTTATTGGAATATTGGAAGGAGACCAAGTACGGACTAGGACACACAAAAATAAGTGTTTGTTCAAATAGTGGAATGAGATGACACAAAAATAAGTTTTTGCTCAAATTCTGGAAAGAGAACAAATTCTGACTAGGACATACGACCAAACTTTTCTTGGAACAGTGGAAGAAGGAGAACTACAAATTTGAACATACAAACAAACTTTTGTTGGAACAGTGGATGGAGAACAAATACCAATTTTGAAACAGAAACAATTTTTTTCGGAACGTGTAAGGAGGAAAAGTACCAATTGGAACACAAAAACATAAAAGTTTGTTTAAAACAGATGATGGTAGACAATTTGGACACAGAAAAACTTTTGTTGGAAAAATGGAAAGAGGACAGAAATTACAACTGTGCATCTGTAGATTGGAGGAGAACATGTATTAGCTAGGATATTTTATTATGTAAAATATAAATCTTGAATAGAACTAAATGTTAAAGATCACTAGGGAAAAGAGGAAGACGTCGGAAAATAATTTACTCACTTGTCACACCAGGAGGGTCGTATTCTATGAATGAAGAGGGCATGGATTCTATAGAGGTTTCTATTTCGTTAGGCTCAGTGGTGACTACTTGTTGATTTCTCGAGCCGTCATTTAAATTATTGCCAGTAGTTACCATCCAGTCATCATTGGTTGTGCCATACATTTCTAAAAAAATAATAATAATAAGATATATACAAATTTCTCAACAAGCAAAATACATAAACTAAATATCTGTTCATGTTCCCTTTTCTATAGCAGAAAATGTCTATTTTTTCAGATGTTGTTACAATAGAAGAGAACTAAAAAATGCCAGTATAAAAATACACCTCGAACCGACAATTTGCTGATTTACAGTAAAATCTGTATTTAAGGAGAGCATTATGTACGTTTAAAAAGATTTGTCTATAAACTAAACCTTCATTATATATATATATAACAATCATTCTTGTACTTAATGACAAGTTGAAGTTGGTCTATAAGTACATGTTAGGTATCGGCTTGTTTGTTAATGTCCAGTAGAAATTCTTTCCGAGGTACTTCAACGATACAAGTCCTTTCTTGATTAAACCAGTTTATTCTTTCTCGATACAAACTTTTAGTAATTCCACAGTCAGTACGTTTCTCTTCACTTTAAACTTAACAACTTTTATAATACATGCTATAAATCGCAGCTATTCACAATCTCGATAACTTCACTCTCTACGAGTGCAAAACACTCACTAGCTAGAAACAGAATCGTAAACTACCCGAAACTCACCATAACTACTGTTCGCTTTATCCTCCTGGCTTTTCTCTGGCAGGCTTATATACTAAGAAAGAGGCATCTCCAACATTCGCGGAGTTCGCGATTATTCGAGAAATTCACCATGCATGTTCCCAGCGTCACATGATTTCCACTGTCGTAACACTGCCCCTTCCTTAGTATTGTTCGTCCAGAACAATACTAACTTACATTAAACCAATAGATAATTAACAATAACTTAATTAAATGTACAGAATTTACAAACACAAAATTAAAATTCAACAAAGTCTTAATTTTTACGGAACGTATCTTCTTCCGTACTGGTCTCCGTCTCGTTGGCTTCTGCTTCACGAGGGGTTCATCTGCTCCATCAGGAAATGTCCTATTATCGGTAACAGTCACATCAGTGGTAGTAACTTCATCAAGAGCTTCACAGGTGTTATTGTTGTATTTAACGGGAGGTTTACTATACATAAAAACTACCTCATCTTGTCCCTACGGTTAAGTACAGGTATTATTGTTGTATTTAACGGGAGGTTTACTATACATAGAATCTGAATTGAATACGTGTTTTTCTGTATTATTCTGACATCTTGTGCATCGTGGAAGCTACCTGATATATTGAATTTATTCCTTTGGCCGCATTTTCACTTTCGTTGTCGAAGTGTTCGTAGATGTTTAAAATATTAGAACCAGAGATAGGCTTAAACTCTTTCATGCGTTATTCTAAGCAACGCGTGATTGAGACCACAAAGAAACACGTGACAAGATACATTCCGAAAGTAAAGTTAAAAAACAAAATAATTCAAGAAGTTTTTTTTTTGTGGAACACTATATATATACCCTGTAGTTGTAGTCTTTCTCTGTGACTGTGTGGAACACTATATATATACCCTGGAGTTGTAGTCCTTTCACTGTGACTGTGAGTAGCACTATATATACCCTGGAGTTGTAATCCTTTCACTGTGACTGTGTGGAACACTATATATACCCTGTAGTTGTAGTCTTTTCTCTGTGACTGTGTGGAACACTATATATACCCTGGAGTTGTAGTCCTTTCACTGTGACTGTGAGTAGCACTATATATACCCTGGAGTTGTAATCTTTCACTGTGACTGTGTGGAACACTATATATACCCTGGAGTTGTAGTCCTTTCACTGTGACTGTGTGGAACACTATATATATACCCTGGAGTTGCAGTCCTTTCACTGTGACTAGCACTATATACACCCTGGAGTTGCAGTCCTTTCACTGTGACTGTGACTAGCACTATATACACCCTGGAGTTGCAGTCCTTTCACTGTGACTGTGAGTAGCACTTAGCTTGTTTGTTTGTTCACCAGGCTATCGTCTTATGTTCTTTATCTACTTCCCTTCTCAAAACCGGGTAGAGTTTCTTTCTCGACAGTGGCTTTTTCAGGTGACACTTTTCAGCAGCGTCATTTGTTCCGTTGTTCACTTCATCCCAACTGAAATGTCCTGGACAGTGATAACACCAAAGCCTGTTGGCATGCACCATCTTTGGCTTACCTTAGGCAATCACCGTCCAATAAAGATCCCTCTCAAGAGAATAGCTCCGGCAAAACGACAAGAGATAGAAAAGGTCATTTGTGGCAGGTCATCAAGTAGTAGCCATTACAGTGGCCAATTTCTCTAATGGGATGATAGAAAAGTACACTTGGACAGGAATTGACAAAGTTTTGTAATAGCCACCAAGATGACTGGGATGTCTTACTCCCTCCACTGTTGATGGCCTATAGGACAGCAGAGCATGCAACCACTGGATGCACTCCAGAAAAGTTGATGTTTGGTCGAGAACTTCGGTTGCCAATGGATCTTTTAACAGGACGCTCACCTTATGAAGAGTTGCTTGAGAATGTGCCAGATTTCGTGAAAGTGTTATCGGAAAGGATGGATAATATTCACCATCAAGTGCATTCAAATTTGAAAACGTCTGCTGATTCGATGAAGTTATGTTATGATAAGAGATCTACTGAAGTCAGCTTCGTACCAGGAGAATGGGTGTGGTTGTATAATCCCAGGAAGATCGAAAGGAAGTCTTTTAAGTTGTCTTCTCCATGGGATGGCCCATATGACATAATGGATCGTCTCTGAGACGTTACTTTCCGAATAAAATGTGGTCGGCAAGGTAAGCCAAAGGTGGTTCATGCCAATATTTCAGTTGGAACGAAGTGAACAACGAAACTGATGTCGCTGCGGAAGACATGTCTCCTGAAAAAGCTACTGTCAAAGAAAAAAATCTACCCGGTTTTGAAAAGGGAAACAGTGAAGCCTTTAATGAAGTTACTACCACTGATATGACTATTACCGATAATAGGACAATTCCCGAGCAGACGAACCTCACGTGAAGCAGAAGCCAACGAGATGGAGACCAGTACCGAAGAAGATACGTCCCGTAAAATTAAGATACTTTGAATTTTAATTTTGTGTTTGTAGTGTTTGTAAATTATGTACATTTAATTAAGTTATTGTTAATTATCTATTGGTTTAATTTAATTGGCTATTGTTCAGGACGAACAATACTAAGGAAGGGGCATTGTTACGACAGCGGAAGTCACGTGACGCTGGTAACACGTGATGAGTGTCTAGAAGATTCGAGAAGATGTTAGTGTGTGCTATGCGCGCATTTTTGGATGTATATAAGCACGCCAGACAAAAGAGAGGATCATTCGGGACTGGAATTGCAGACAGGCAGAAATAGAGACGAATAATTGAGTCATGCGCGGTAGTAAGTAAAGTGCGTGAATCGTTTGGTGTGAATTATAGTGTGTGTTGAAGTTAAAGTGACTGTGGAAATTAAGTGTATTGCAAAGTTGTATTAAGAAAGAATAAACTAGTTTTATTTAAGAAAGGACTTGTATCGCCAAAGTTTCTCGGAAAGAACTTTTATGGATAATTAACAAACGAACACAGAGACGTAAGAGTATTAACTTTACGAGGGGCATACACTCCAGTTGAAAACATTCTAATATAGTCTTGGCCAAAATGTTAGAATATTTTGTAACAAATAAAATCGTTATAATTAAGATGGAATACAAATACACTAAGCACTGTCAAACTGAGAAATGCATATTATATTAAACATCTACGTATGTAATTTGTATAATGAGACAGGTTTTATGGACATTATAAACGGTTTTTAAAAACAATTTTATCAGATATCTGTAGAAACATGTTTAATTCAGCATTTCACCTATCACAACAAACATATATATATATAATGACAAAATATAACCTCAAATTATTATAAATAGCATCAGTAACCTTACATTAGTACTTGGTTAATCCTCCTCATACTCTAATAACCTTGGTAAGACAACGTGATTTGTTGTAGATGAGGTTATTGATGTAATCCGCGATGATTTCATCTCAACTTGTCACTCGATGGTGCTACAACTCAGCTATAGTAGCTGGTTAAGGGTCTTGGTTAGCTATTTTATTTCTCAGTTCTGCTCAACAGTTCTCAATGAGATTACAATCTAGAAACTTTGCTGGCCATGGCAATCTTGTAACTTCCTCCTGGTCGAAATATTCTTGTATAATATGCATGCTGTGGGCAGTGGCATTGTCATCCTGGAATATAAAGTTATTGTCAAACCTTGCAGTGACATATGGCAGAAATATCGTCTCCATGTAATGCCGTAGGATGCACTATTGACGTTTCCCTGGAGAATATGAACAATAGTTTTCCAGCATGATAAATAGCTGCCCAACCATGCACTGCACTACCTCCTGTGTGTTCCCTGTGGGAAAGACCTCATTTGTTCTTCAGGCAAAGGACAAACACGTATCCAACCATCAGCTTTAACAAGCCAGAAAGGGAAATCATCTGTAAGTTGGCATGCTGTCTTGCACAAGTTAGATGGTGAAGGAGGTGAATTCTGGTTAATATCGTTTTGTAGAGAGCCCTGATTACAAAATAACCTGCTTTGGTCAGTCTCCTACACACTATTTTTCTGGGTACCCTGGAATGAATATTTTCACACCATTCCTGTCTTATGGCGTTAAAACACTTATTTTGATCTTGACATGTTAAACTGGTCAAAACATGGTTATGGCCGGCAGTAGTTTTTCGGTGTATACCAGTAGACTTTCCTGGGAGAACATTTCCTGTAGTCTGATGAAGTTTTAGGATTCTGGCAATGTCTATTTGCTTTATATCATTTATGGACAGTCAAACAATTTAATGACCTATAAATTCTGGTATGTCATGGTAGATGACTTTAAACTCAGTACAGAGAAATTGTCTGAACCAAGTGTTGGCCGTTTCGAAAAATATTATACCAAAATCACACCCTTTTATACAAAATAGGTGTGTATGTGGTTTTTGACAAACGAATACAGATCAGAATAACACCTCGTATCATATGCTACCTTCTCTGTTACTACTAGTCAATAACT